ACATGATTTAAAATAAAGCTAATGTAGCAATTTGTAACTTTTACTCTGTTTTGTATTGGTTTATTGTTAATCTCTTGTTATATTTGCATAGTTTACTGTATGTTTATGTTCTGGTATTAAGACCATTATCTGGCAGCATCTTTGCTTTCCTGAAAGTGTTTAATGTTCACCAAGTTGAAAGATGCAGAGTCTTGGCTCTGTTTAACAGTATTGTAAGCAGATGCTGCACATGATTTCCCACACAGGCCTGGCAAATACATCTCAATCCTGGCCCTGAAACATACTTGCCATTCCAGTTCCGGACCTGTCTTGAGCAAAGATTAATCATTGTCTGTTCAGTACTTACGAGAAGTGAACAAATACTAGCAGGAAACCCCCCAAAACATTTTCTCCTGAAGTCTTGGAAAATACTTCTCTCAATCAAGTTCTTCAGAAATAAATATACCAAGGAAGAAATAGTTAAACACAGCAGTGAATGAATAAGGATGCTTTCAAGGAGCACTGTTATTTATTTTGGCTCCAATTCTACAAATATTGGAGTGTATACTTAACTTCTAAGTACTTAAGTAGTCCCATTGACTTCAGTTGGAAAACTTGCATATTTAAAGGATACACCTATGTAAATATTTGTAGAACTGAGAATTCAATATTAGTGCAGATTCTGGTGAATACAACTAACTGGATTAACTAAATTTTATTTATTTAACACTCTTGGTTCCCTTAGGCTTCATCTTCCTTAGCAAACTCTTTCCATTGAAGCTGTTCAGGTTGTAGAAATTTCGAGTGAATAAAATCTGTTAATGTACATTTTCCCTTTTGTGAGTTAAATGCGTACCTCTTGTTTTCATTTACTTTCTGATCATTTGCATGGAATCCAAAGAGTAACAGGAGTTACTGTTGCATTATTAATTGTAATACAGTCTAATATACTGACTTTTGTGAGTTGACTGCTTTTCCTTTTATGATGCTTAAGAAATTCTCCTGGCCTCAAGAGTAATTACTATAATTCTGTGTTCAGTGCAACATGCATTCCTTCAGTGTATGAAACTCCACCAGCAGCTTTGGTTTTGGATGCATTCAAGGATGGGAAAATTTCCGAAGTACGGAGAAATATACTCGATGACCCACTGAGTGCCCCTTTACCTTCTGACTCAGTTAATGGAGTTACCTTGTCTCCGTTACAGGTATCTCATATTTTGAAAACTTTGTTTCCTAAGTCACAAAATATGTTCTTAGTAAAATTAAATAGATTAAACACTTTGAGTCAAAACTGAACGATGTGATATGATCAAAATGTTGCAGATTGAGTAAGCCACAAAGACAATATACAGAAAGAGAAACAAAACTGCCAGCTTCTTTCTAAACTACACAGTAGTCTCACAAACTGCAGAAGAACATTAGATGTGCTTGGCATACAAACAGATAGGAGCATGCAGTTGTAATGCCATATTCTTTGAAGATATTTAACTTGCTGAGAGATGCTAAGCTGCCTCTCTTTCATTGCAGGTAGGTGGCACAAAGCACAGCTCATAAACACAAGAATATTTCATGAAACAAATACACTATCAGAGCTGTTCTTGTTTCTGCAGAATCAGATTACCTTGAGTGGCAGAGTGCCCCGCTTGGGCAGATACGTATTTGTGGTACATTTTTATCAGCCAGCACACCTGGTGTTCCCTGTGCAAGTGCAGGTGGATGGGGGACATGTGTGGTCAGGTAAGCTTCTGAATTTGATCTAACCCCTTTCCCTTCTCAGCATTTTGGCACATGGAACATTTTTTGGCATTATGTTTTTTTTCTTCCAGGTTCTTTCAATGCTTCATTCTGCCCTCATACCTCTGGCTGTCGGGATCAGGTGATTGCGGAAAACCAAATTGAACTTGACATTTCTGAACCTGAGGTCTCTGTTACAGTGATGATACCTGATGGAAGAATTCTTGTTCTGGTAAGTTTATTACATAAATGTACTTGGAATTGTTATTCTCAGTTTCACTATTCATTTAGAGATAGATGCAAAGATGAAAGCTGAAAAGAAAGAATTAGTCTTTTAGTGTTGTGTTTCAGATTTTTAGGATCTTGTGCACTTCTGTTTTATTTTAAACTTTTAAGATACTATACACTGCTTTTATTGTACACTGCTTGTAGCGTCACAACTCTGGGGGGAAGACAAGAAGTATATTTTCCCATTTTTTTCAGTTAAAATGTTACGAGTTTTGAAAAAGTCCAGAACGCATAATGAAGCAACATTTAAATATATCAATACCTTAGTGTGTGTCTCTTGCTTTTCTCTGAAATGTACAATTTAACTTTCTTGTTGTTTTAAGGAAAATATCTTAGTTGTTCCAGCAGACACCTACAGTTACAAAATTCTTGACAAAAAGACAGTGGACAAGTCATTTGATTTTATCAGCCAATGTGGAGGAAACAGTTTTTATATTGAGTAAGCATCGCTTTCTAAAAAACTGAACATTGACAACAAGCTGGGAATTAATATTACTTTTACTCTGTATTACAGACATATATATAAAATCCCTTTCATTGTGCTACATTAAAATGCTCTTCATGGCTTATGCTGGCCCATTAAATTTCCATGAGTCATTTTTCCATGACTTTCTATTATAAAAGAAATGTAAAGGTAGAGCTTTATTGCTCACAGTACAAAAGAGGAAAATCTATGTCATCTTTCTGTCCTTGGTATTTCCATCTTTGGTATTTGGTATTTTGCTTGGCATGTCTGAACTGATATGACTAATATATGCACTTTCTTTGAAAAAAATCTCTTACCTGCATGTTCAAAGCCATTCACCACTAATTTAATTAAACTATATCCTTGCATGCATACTGATGCCATCCTTAAGCAAAGAACTGCTTGAAAGACAGGACCCTAATTTACTGAACCACTGCAAAGCATGCTCATAACAATTCCCAAGTGCTAGTACTTACATGGTTTATGTTTATATTTAAATTTAAATAGCCCAGAAGGATCATCAACCTTTTGTAAGAACTCTGCAAGGTCACTAGTGGCTTTCTACAACAACGGAGCCCTGCCATGTAATTGCCATAGCGCAGGTGCCACAAGCCCTACTTGCAGCCCCCTGGGAGGACAGTGTATTTGCAGACCTAATGTCATCGGTCGTCAATGCAGCCGATGCCAAACTGGCTACTATGGATTCCCGTTCTGCAAGTGTAAGTACGTGCTTGGATTTATTCAGCACCTGACCCGATCTTTTATTTAACTCTCTGATTTTACTGCATAGGTACCACAGCCTTGCTTCTCTTCATAGGTCTTGATCCTATGAGAGACTGGTTGAGCCATCTTAGATTTAGCACAGCATAGCTTTCAGTTTAAGGCAGAAGTAACCCCATTCCCTTAAAACACACCTAGTTCACAACGAAGTGTGCCTTCGCATGTGTTGTCTAATTAGGTGTAGCAGGCTTACAGTTAAACTGGTTAAAATCCATATTGCCACTCTTTCAGTCAAATGGATTTTTCTGCATTGACTACTAAATTGTTTCCCAGTTACCACTGTTGTATCCCAGTTTACACTTTCAAGATTTTCCATAAATAATCAGAGCCATAGCATTCTTAATTCCTCATATTCTGATGTTCTTAATAACATCAACAGATTTATAGATTACACCAACAGTCCTCAGATGCCTTCTCAGATATTATACTCGATGTTTATAAATGTTGCTTTGTAAAAGTGGTGCCCTTAACACCAAAACTATTTGTCGTTTAATCCTTGGCAGTGTTGGGAAGTGATTAATAATGCCTGTGGTGAAGTTAAGCAAGCAATCTGTGGAAAAGAGCCAGGCACTCAAGCTACTCTTTGAAATTACCGTTACAGTCACATAGTTGGTTTCCATGACCCTGAGCTTAAAACTAGTGACAGAGAGAAAAGAATCATGTCCTTTATACATAAAGGTTGCGTGTGCTTGTTTCATATGCAAGTTCAGTAAGAGTTGATCATTGTAAGTTGAGATGTGATTGATTTGTAGAATGTTTTCTTTGACCTAGTATGCAACTGTGGGCAGCGTCTTTGTGATGACATGACCGGTAAATGCATTTGCCCTCCACGAACTGTGAAACCAACTTGTGAAGTGTGTGAGAGACATTACTTCAGCTATCACCCTCTTGCTGGCTGCGAGAGCTGCAACTGTTCGGAAAGAGGAGTCGTTAATGCGGCAAGCCCAGAATGTGAAAAAACCAACGGGCAATGCAAGTAAGTTTGGGTTATGTGCATTATAAACAATGCACCAGTGGTTTGCTTCATCATTCTTTTTGGGTATTTGGAGGGAACGTGGGAAACTTTGACGATGGTCAATAGGGATTTAAGCAGCGTGTGGTGATAGTGAGGACTCAGCTGTTTCAGAGATACCCGCAATGTTTTAGTGGAAACTTGGTTTGTGCAGGTAACTAACAAGATTTGGGATTCCTGGGCTTTCATTCTGTTTGCCAGCGACATGCCATGTCACTCATGTTAAGTCACCAAATCTCTGTCCAGCTCATGACTTATCCAGTGTCAGTAGCAAACCTCAGATCAGATATCCTGACTTCTGGACATGTACATCATTTGGAACGGTGTACATTATTTCCCAAATTCTTAAAACTTTGCAGTTGGCCTTCCACAGTCTGATGCCTGGATTTAAATCTAATGATGTTTTTAAGTACTGTAAAGCTTGAATGTTTGCAATGAATTTTGAGAAACTTTGATGATAGGTGCTGCGGGCATGGAAAATATGGTTCAGTTGGAGCCATAGATGATAATTGCCCTTAAAATTATGCCTTCTGTATGATAGATGCTTATTTTTCTGTAACTGAGCATGCTGAGATGAGAATAAATTATTTAATTCTGTTCTCTTATTTACATCCTTTTAGTTCAGTTTGGTTATTTTGGCTATGTTAGAGTCCTAACAAAGAGAAATTTGTCCTTCCTGCTCTGCCATTAAGCCTGTAAATATGATAGAGAACACTAATTTTCAGAGAATGCTCATATTATTTCCCAAATTTAAAATCTTTTCCTAAGTCTCCTTTTCATATGACGTGAATAATTGTCTTATCCCAAGAGCAAACCAGGAACTGTTTTCAAATTTAGAAGTTGGGGTTCAGGGTTAAAGTGTAGCATATTCTGTATCTCCTGATGCACTCTCAATCTGATTAGTCTCTGCTTTCATTTTCCCCCTATAGTACAAAATAAAATCAAAATAAATACTATGCTAAAATAAATCAAATAAATGATTCAGTCAAAATGTAATACTTCAAAGAAAGGGCTTAGCACACTTCTACTCGAGTAGAATTGAGGATATTTTTTGCAGAAATAGTCACACTTTTCCATTTCAGTGAAAAGCTGTATTGTCTGATTATAATGGTGGTATTTTTCATGTGCAACCTAATTGGAAATATCAAAGAAATGACAGCTTATTCGTAAAAATGTCTGAAGCAAAATTTGACATATAGCAAATGCTTTTGGACTAATTGCTGAAGTATATAGCTAAGTACTACATTCTGACTAATACTTTTCCGTCTGTGGATTACATGAAGTTCAAAGTCCCCATCCAGCTCCAGTTATCTGTGTGTGGGGGTAATGTATTCAGAGAGACTCTGAGAAGCCTCGCCCATTGTTTGGTGAATTGAGTAGTTGCTTTCATATATTGCACAAAGTGCAGTCTACCTTGTCTGCATATTTAACAGTTTATTTCCATTACATTCATAGTGTTAGTGCACGCATGAATTTGGTTCTGGGAGCTAAAGGAGACTCCACTAACTTGCTGAGACTTTTGAAAATTATCTTACACAACTAAAATGTAAAGATGTGGATGGTGGTGGTGGCAGACATTCTTTATCAATGGATCCTTACTCTCTTGAAACCTGCTTTGGGCTGGTACAGGCAGTTTACCAGCACAGACAAGAGGAAGAGGGATCATCAGACCCACAATTTCACTAGTTTTATCAGACTGTGCAAGTTTGTTGTAAAGGCAGGATGAAGTAGCTACTGCCACGGAAAGATGTTCTCATCTCAAGCCTTGTCCATAGTTTGGTGTTGGTTTTTGCATCTGCTGTACTTCACCTAAATTCAAGGTGTTCAGCCTTCACTGTGAGCAAAGTGGATTTTATCCCAAACCTTGTGGCAGGTTGAAGTCCCCATAATTACTCATATGCCTGGGATTCTCCACCTTTTTGTTAGCAAGTGAATGCCTTGAGTAATGCCCAGTCACATCCTCCAGCTATAAATCTTTTTCCAGCTCCACTTAACTGTGTGCAACATCCATGTTTCACACCTTTGTGTATAGAGAGAGTAGTTCTATACTGCGAGCACTAAATGGCTGAAGAAGTCTAATTCTATTGTGAGCATTTATATCCTTCAAAATCAAATCCATTCCTGGTCAGTTCCATGACCATTGAAAACGTGTCACTATTCAAAACTGAGAACAATACTAACCTGCTGCTGTTTCTCTGGGGAAATCATAAAGTTGTGTCATAGCCATGTAATCACTTCAAAGATCTACCTGCCTTTTGTTTTAATCTACCCTTCCTCTCTGCATCCCTATTGACTCCCTCCTCTGTGTTTGTTTGTTGATAAAGATGCAAACCAGGAATAAAAGGACGGCAGTGTGATCACTGTGCTCCTGGTACTTACGGTTTCCCGAACTGCATGCCATGTAACTGTAACAGAGATGGAACAGAACCAGATGTTTGCGATCCCCAGACAGGAATTTGTCTCTGCAAGGTCAGATAAATCAAATTACTTCTGAATTCACAAGCAGCTTTTGCACATCAGTGACTACTTTGTATTTAATGGGGTGAATGAAGTGAGTTTATCATTAAGTTTTCAGTAAAAATGAAATGCAGCTGTACAAAACCATCACACCTTGCAGTATATGCACAGATTATCACGGTACCAGTTAAATGCCATTTTTTAATGAGTTCAATATCTGTCAGTTTTACAGGCAGCTTTAGGCTTTGCAGGATGTTACAGAGCTGCAGAGTAGATGTCCATTGATTCACTGAAGCAGTCTGTACCCTGCGCAGATCTGCTTTATGCATCTGCACCTCAGCTTTTGGATGTTAACCAGGTCTCATGCTTTTTTTAGCCATGTTATGTCAGTTGACATTTCACCACATTATTATATTCAGGAAATCTTCTTTTGTTCTGATCTGCATGATTAAATGTGATAAATGTGAACTTTCACAAGTGACCTTTTATATTGTAGGTTTGGAAAAGTCAGCAGGAGGATTTTGGCAGGGAAGTTACCAGCTGTCTCTGACTAATATTTATTACTCAGTGGTTCACTTTATGAACTGGAAAGACAGCTCATAACTAAGATAATCTCCAAGAAGCCAATTTTATTTGCATTTGGAATATGATGTATGCGGACAATCACACATTTTCATTCATGTTTCCATACATTTAAATAAATCTTCTTTCAGAAGATTTGTTTTATGTGCAGGAGGTTTTGCGGGCCTCACCAAAACCAAAAGGAAATTGCTGAGATTTCTTTCAACTATGCCTTAACAGGAGAATGTTGAAGGTGCAGAATGTGATACTTGCCGACCAGGATCCTTTTATCTGGACCCTTCTAATCCCAGGGGATGCACCTCTTGCTTTTGTTTTGGGGCAACCAGCGACTGTCGCAGCACAAATCGTCGTAGAACCAAGGTGTATCCAATAGTTTTTTTGTTTGCTGTCATAAACCTACATTTATTCTGTTAAGGAAATGCCAGACTTTTTCCAAAATTTAAAATATATTTTATTAGTTTCTAAGGATAAGAAATATTCTGCAAGCAGTAGTACAGATTTAATGCAGCCTTGTTAAGACTTAGGTGTAGTCTGAAAGTGCCTTTCAGCAGAAATGGCCCTTTTCACCTGTTTGCAAATCACTAGTTGGACTGAAGTTGAGCTGGCCTTCTATTGCTTTATCTTCAGACGCTAGTTCATCATTAAAGTCAATGGTCTCCTTCAAGATGCTTTGATAAGCACATGTGTCATTTTACATGCCTATATCATAGATGCATTTTGAAACCTAAGAAATGTGTGACACATTCCACAAAGATTGTAAAAATTGTCTTTCTTCCCGCCCTGTAAAAAAGACATGAAATCAGGTGTGAGAAAAGATGACAGATTTTTATTAGCATAAATGAATGGTAAGATGGCTGAAGACTGAAAAAAAAGCAACAGCTGCCTGAAACAATGCAAGAGAAAGAAAAGAAAGAAGCAGAGTCCTAGAATGATGGATGAGGAGTTTAGTTTAGGCTTAGACATAGACTAAGTGCAATCCAGATTGTGGCACTTTACAAGCAAAGGATGAAAGTCTGGCCTCAGTGAAGTCAGTAGCAAACTTCCATTTGCTTTAGAAAAATTTCCTGCAGTGATTACTTGTCCTCACCAAAGACTGTTTTTGAAAACATGTCTAACTTTATGTTTTATTGCTCTGGCCAGCCAAGGGCAACCCACCACAGAACTGTTCTGGTACATAGACATCGTGTTTGCTTTCCTCCAGCATCATGATAAATAACGGGATGTGTGGTCTTTCATGAAACAACAGCCATGAACATAAAACGTGCATTAAAGAGCCAGAATATTAGGCTACATTGCCTGCCTCTCCAAAATATTCTGCCATGTCCCCTCCCTCCCAGCTAACCTACCACAACAGGCCACACTCTGTCTTTTAGGTCAGTGTCCTTGGTTTGATTTTGGAATGGACTTAAAAAAGCACCTCCAAATTATATCCTTGAATTTGTGTACACAATTCCTACTCACCTCCAGAAGGGTGTGTCTTCATGTGACTGAAGACAGAATTTAGTTTGCGAATGACAAACCAAATGTCTGCATCCCAAGTAGCTTTGGCCAATTTGTCCCACTTACACTGTCTTCTGAGGTCCTTGCAACATCCAGTGCGCAAAGACTTTACGCTGGCTCTGAAGGGGTTGAATTTCAAGCTAAGGGAATAATTGAGGCCAAACAATTTCTCCTCATTACTTGGTGCTGGTAAAGTTTAATAAAGGATGAGACGAGCTTTTAATTTCTGTATGTATTTTCATTAGTTTGTAGACATGAGGGACTGGCGCTTGGAGGCAGTGGATGACAATATTGACATTCCAGTCACTTTCAATCCAGTCAGTAACAGTGTAGTGGCTGATGTTCAGGAATTGCCTGCTTCAGTGCATGGTTTGTACTGGAAAGCACCACCGTCTTACCTGGGAGAGAAGGTAAATGACACCTAATTCATCTGTTTTAATGACATGTTTTCATTTTTTGCCAGCATAAAATAAAGAGTCTCATTGTTTTTCTTAGATATGTTTCTCTCTCTTCCCTCATGAGATTCTTACTCTCTTACCTCTCATGCCATGAATCACAACATTTTACTTCTGAGTACAGTGTTAAAATTATAACCAATAACACAGAATTAATCACCTTGTTTCGTGCCAGGGAGGTCTTTGTGTGAACAGCATGATCAGGAGCTATGGTTCAGGGAGCTGGTACCTTCAGCTGCTTTTCTGAAACCTAGAACATGTAGAGCTTGCCAATGTGGCCAATCATCTTTTAGATAACCTAGAGTATCTCCTGGGTGGATTTCTAAAAGAATAAAAGGTGATTATGTGCTCAATGGCATGCAAAAAACCCAACCTTTCGCTTTCAATATGTTGCTTGGGAAGAGCAACACCTGGTTTTCTAACCTTTGTATTCTTTGGACTGCTTGCTGCTCTTTCTGCTCATGCATGGGAGCAGTCTTTTGCTCACGGTTCATACCTGTCGGGATTTCAGCCCGGGGATCATGCTGACCAGGAGGACTTTGGTAGTGGTGGCTTGCGGGCCCAGAGCCCCAGGTTCTCCCTGTTTGGAACTCTGACAGTGTTGACAGTTGCTAGCCAGTTGTAGGGGACACAAGCTTTTCAGATGCAATCCTACCATCACACAAGTGAAAACAAATGGGATAGGCACCAAGATGGTACAATTTTTGAAGTTCCTCTTAGTCCTCATTTTACAAACTAGAGCAGTATTTTTCATCGGGCTCTCCTATGCTGAGGTGCATATCTTTCAGTTGAACAGCACATTTAGTTAGGGTGCTTTTTGTTAATGTTATAGAGGCTCTTGTTTCAATGCCTACAAATTATTTTTCAAAGAAATTTCATGTTAAAGCATATGTTAGGTACTACAGTGCAAAACCAAAAGGACTTTTGTTGTTCCCATAACAAAATGTAAACCAGGCAATAACCCTTTTAAAACACAGCTATTAAGAATAGTGCTGTGAGTTTTATGTTCTGTGTCACAGTGTCTAACTAGGCATGCCATTACTTGCTTTTATTTACAACGACAACACTGTAAATAAAATAGTTTTATTTTTGGACCTGCTTTTACTGTACACTGTCTGTAAGTGTATATTTTAGCACAGGCAATACTGCAGTCGTGAAAGTCCCCCCAAAAATACCATCTTGCTGCTAGTTTTACAAGCTCATAAATTTACCAGTTATTCACATCATTGTATTCTGAAAATGTCGGGTTTTGGTCTACTTGCAGTGATAGCACCTCATTCTGAAAATGTGAATAAGATCACTCCAGACATTTTTCAGCACGATAAGGGTATAAATACTGTTTTCCATTATCTTAAACCTTTTAACTAGTTCCACTGCAACATTAATATTTAGCAGAGTGTATTTTCTTTCCTCTCTCTTGTTTACAAAGTTAGAAGGGAATCAACTGTAAAATCTATAGCAGTGCAGAAACTGACAGTCATTGAGAAATTCAGATCACATTGTCCCTATTTTCTGCTCTTTTGTATTTTAACATTCTATTTAATAGACCACTGCTAATGTTAGAAAATAAATATTGTACATATAGAATACACAGGGTAGTTTATAACAACAATATTTTCCCATTTTAAAAAAACATTTAAAAAGCAGTAACATAACAGTCCTAAAATGTGTTTTAAACAGGAAATTAGCTTTAATTTGAATTTTCTTACATTTTTGAAAAAAAATTTATTTATACAGGGTTGTGTTGGCAAAATATAGCTAATGTTCCAAATTAGGCTTTTGAAAATGCAGTTGGCTAAAGATAATAGCGTTAATTATGGCCCTGTGATCAAAGGAACAAATTTAGTACTGAGATGTCTGTGTTTTGTTTGTAATTCATCAAAGTGTATGGAAAGGGGTAAATCGAAGACTGGTGCTTCCCTGCAGAACACCAAACCTGACAAAGCAGTTCTTCCTCCCATGTTGAAACCAAGCATAAGCTGTAAGTGCAAACAGCAAAGGGTGCAGAACAAAGTAGTGTATCTGTGGCAAAACACCTGATTTCACCTGGTACCCACAAACCTTCCTTCTAGGCTCTGCTTGGAACAAAAAGTGTCCAGGCTGTGCCTGGAGCTTCCTTTCCTCTCAATGTGTTTTGAACTGAGTCACTCACAGCCCAGGGAAGCTGCTTGTCAGATGATTCAGACATACTTGCCTAAGTCTGTGTTCTGGGCAGCAACGCGTGTATTTTGTTGGGTTTGGAGCTGCCTGTGGTCACCCATAGATGAGCCAAAAGAAGTGTGGTTTCAGCTCAACCTACAGACACGGTCTGTTTACACCAGAGCTGATACTGGCTGATACTGGTAGAAGTCCTGTCCTCCAGAAGGTGGAGCAAAGATTTCCTGATTAGATTCATGTTTGTAGTAAGTTTAGAAAATGCTGGCTTATGAAAGCCACCTTTAAACATGCTTAGTCTGACTTCTCCTTTTTATCCATGGCTGTTCATGGGGTTCACTACCACTTTCATTATCAGTCTGACATCTGCTCTTGATGAGCGAAATCTGTTCTGTAGGGTCAGGGGAAGAACAATGTTCATGTGAATGTGTGATTTCTCCATGACACGCAGAATCACACAGATGGGTGATCCCAGATATGGAAAAAAAAAAGAAAACCCTAATGCTAGTAACCTTCCAGAGAACAGTAACTTCTCAAAAGTGATCTCAGATACACAAAATAAACAAAATAGAAGGTAGTTTCTTCCAAGCAACACATATTTTCATATTTTGTCTAAAGAACAAAGAATAAATGTATTATTTACAGTGCTGGAAGATGGGGTAAACTTGAATACAGAGTTATATTAATATCAAGCAATAGTGCTGTAAAGTATCTCTGGTCTTCTGCATTTTGTTACAGCTTTCTTCATATGGTGGCTTCCTAAGTTACCAGGTGAAATCTTTTGGCTTGCCTAGTGAGGGCATGGTTCTTCTGGATAAGAGACCTGATATACAACTAACAGTAAGTTTTGAAATATTATTTTTTCTTTCAAGCAATACCAATATCATGATTTTTTCTGTTACCTGACAACTATGGCAAATTTTGCTCCTATAGTGTGCTTAACTTCTATAGCAACTTGCTACATTTCTATAGCAGTGATTTTATTGCATTTTGCTCAAAGCCATCAACACACCTATCTCTGTTGCCAAAGTAACGTATTATTAAGCATAACTGACTTGAGAGCAAATAAAAAGATAAAACAGGATTTTCTCTGTAAAATGCACCTGTGGGAAAACAAATAATTAATGCCTTGCACACTTGTCAACAACTATGGCCTCGACTCTGCAAAATATGCCCTGGATTCCATGTGTAATCAGTCCAATTTTCTGTGAGATTTTTCTTCGGCATAAAATTAAGCATAATTATAAGGCTTCAAGGGACCGAAGTAAAAATGCCTTTTAGGTTAACAATTTTTTAATTCAACCACTTTAGGGCCAAAATTGAAATCTTTTACATCTGTTGAAATTCCCATGGGGGTGGTTCTGTTTCTTCAGACCATCAGAAACACTGATTCAGTATTCTATGATTCTTATTGGGAAACATGCCTCATAAAGTACTACAGTAGTATCCAAAGTTGTTTTGTGCACCAGGATGCAAAGGAGAATGTTTGAAAATGCAAAAACATTTTTACTCAAAAGTAATAACTAGTTCCTGTGAAAATTGGTCAGCATTAATTTAATTCTCTTACTGTTTTATTTGAAAGCAAGGTTGCTAATAGGCAAAAGCAGTGAAAACCCTACTGACACTAGAACATAGTGCTTGCTATACCACTTCACTGTCAAAATGACATACAGATTTCCTAGTATTACTTAGTTTTTATCCCCCAAAGAACAGGATTAATGTACTTCACCAAATTTTATTGCATCTGAACGCTTTACCATAAAAGTAGTGAAACAGCAATGTTATATCCTCGTTCTCACATAGGGCCAGCACATGAAAGTTGTTTATATGGATCCCAACAACCCACTGCCTGACCGTCAATATTATGGCCGTGTGCAGCTAGTTGAGGTAAGAAATCAAAATGGAATGGCTTTCCCTTTTCTTCCCAGCGGCACATAAAAATTACTCAGGTAATATGTGCAGACATACTAAATACTTGATAATGTTAATGAATACAAACTTAAATACTGTAGATCTAAATACAAACAACATTTTTTTTCTCTCTCTTTACTGCCACATTGAACCTAGGTTCTGATTCATGCCACCTAATTTTAGCACCTCGAAGTTAGGCATCTTGTCCAATTTAGCCTTTAGCACTCCCTCCAGGGCCAGTGGAGTAATGCTGAGTCAGTCATCAATGGAAGATGATTCATTACAGCCCCAGACTGTACTTCATAGAGATGGAATGAACTGTTATCTGTTTGCCTTGGTGTCTAGCTACCTGGTTTAGAATGGGTGCCCACCATTCAGGCAGGTGAACTTAGCAGGGATTGTGCCTACCTTGAATCTGTGCTCAGAAGGTCAAACTGGGTTATTTATTTATTTCTGTCTCATATATAGACCAAAAAAATGTTTCTTCAAGCCAGATTCCATTTTCAGTAATTCTGTGTCTATTAGCAGCAAGAAAGCACATGAGGGCAGCCCTCAAAGACTGGATTTCTAGGACTTCGCTTACTCTTAAAAAGAAAAGCATTTTCCTCCACCCTTTTGTGGTTTGGTGGGTGACACCTAAAAGAAATTTGGATGACTGAAGAAGAACCTATATGCTTCTTCACTTTTCGATACCTCAAAGCCATATGTACCTTGCAAAGTAAAGGATACATCCCTTCTTATGTTCATTATTCCTTTTCCACCTACCCTGTATTTATGTTCATTATATTTATTTTCCTGACCTCTATTTCCCCCTACACCAATTGGCACTATAGGGGTCTGTTCCATGGGGTTTTTCTCCCTTTTTTCTGTCATCCTATCTTCTTTGCAGATACTCTTTTTAAGAAGCTGCAGGGCTCATTTTGTACCCTTAATCTGCAGGGAAACTTCAGGCATGCCAGCAGCAATAACCTTGTATCCAGAGAAGAACTGATGATAATCCTGTCTAGACTAGATGGCTTACACATCAGAGGCCTTTACTTCACGGAGACTCAGCGATTAACCCTTGGTGAAGTTGGGCTGGAAGAAGCCACCAGCGCAGGAAGCAGCAGCATTGCATACAGCGTAGAGACGTGCTCCTGCCCTCCGGAGTACACTGGTGACTCATGTCAGGTAGGAAGCATTTGCCTCCATACTGTACCATTATCTTCTGTCTTGCCTACAGCTATACATACTGGTTTAGTTAGAGGAAAAGGCTAGTTATTACAGTAATTAAACGTGCTTCTTGTAAATGTATGTACTTTCAAGGGCTTAAATACTTTCCCTGTCTAAGAAGCAGTGTTGGGTTACTCAACTCGTGATTGCTTTTGCAGAGCTCTGAATGACACTCTACATGTGTAAGGCACTATAATGAGCGATTCTTCTATGATGCCCTGTGAGAGGCTGAATAATCTCGGTCGATACTTTAATGGAGGGAAGGTCAGAACTGACTTATCAAAGTCTGTGAGACCCTATACAGTGGAGAAGAGTCCTGGTGTTCCTTATTTTAGCAGGGTGCAAGTGAAGCAGCCTGAACCTAGATAATTCTGGATACTTTCCCATTTTCACAGGAAAATGTTTGAAAGCTAAAGTTAACATATTTGCAAAAAGTATTTGGAGATATTTTTATGAAAGATAATGTAAATGTTGCACAGTAATACTGTTACCTGAAGAATGGTGAAATCCTAGCTGTAGTTGTATATCCTGTCCCTGATGTTGTTCCTGTAGCTGTAATTCTTCTGGTTGTCACTTTGCTTAGCTTAGAGCTTGACTGTTCCCATGTGTAAGCACCCAAGGCAGCAGAATAAAGTACTAGAGAGATAAGCAGTGTACAAAGTGCACAAAATATGAGGAATTATTCTCTCAGAAAATGGTTGAGGGTTACCGTAAAGCAGTAATTGCTATACTAACCTTGCAAACGTTTTTGAAATGAGAATGAAAGAATAATATCTAGATGGGAGCAGCTGCAGAGAGACTGAACAAAACATTTATGGCTGGCTTATGTCTCATGTGTGCATCCATTGCTCAGGGCAGCTATTCATCATCTGTCGAATCCCATTTTGGAAATATTTCTAGAAACTTAGTTTTTCACACATTTGATGTTCTGTGCCACAGACAAATTGATGAGCATTGACCCATGAAATTCCAACTGCCATCCCATTGCTTTCAACATACTGCCTTGATAAACTAAGGTGTTGGAGTTTTTTTATATAACCTGGTGGAAATACATAGCCAAAGGAAGTGATCAAGACACCTGGGTAGTTCGTAAGCCCCATATGTTTATGCAGCATTACTCAGGCGGTGATTTACTGCTCTAATCACCTAGCTCTGTCTGGCTGCCTTAGGTGGGGAGGAGGTGATGCCTGCCACACCCTGACTTAGGTATATATTGAGCTACGGGATCTGCGGGGTTACTTGTTAACCTCAGGAACGGTAATGTGTGCCGTACAACTTGACTCACGTATAAAGTTTAAAGGTGGGGCCCATCACAGCACGGAGCCTCATTAATCTGAGTCAGAAGCTGGAGAAGAAGGGAGAGTATAAGAGAACGGGCGAGCACCGAACGGATAGCAGCGTATGTTGGCAGTGGAGCTAAAGTAAAATGACGGCCCAAGTGCAGAGGCCGAGGAATGTAGGATGGGTGGTTGTCACGTTAGTGGCCCTGGGGCGTTGTTTAGCACAAGATATGCAACAGAGGCTGTCGTATCCTCACCTTCAGGAGTGGAGTCAGCAGCAACAAGTTCAAAGAGATTTTTACCTGAGACAGGTAATTTGTTCATTTTCTCTTCCTCGCTTGCTTCCTTCTTTCTCTTTGTTTTTAAAAAAACTAATTTGATAACAACTTATACATTACTTAATATAAGTAATAAGAAGGCTAATCTTCTCATGTCTTAAAGTACTTTGCTAACAAAAGCGTGTGTGAGAAGTTTCTTTTAAATTGCTGTTTACTTGAAAACAGTCAGCCTGAACTCCTGAGCTCTTGAAAGCGCCTAGAGCTTTATTTTCGTTTGGAATCAATTTCTCAGTATCACGAACGCTGCTTCAAAAACAAAGTGCCCACGTACTCCAAATGTGTTGTTTTAAAGACAGCATAAATAGAAAAACAAAAAGCTGCGTAGATTTTTTCCAAATGCATTTGGATGTATTTTTAAATGAATGATTCATTTTGCTCTCCGAAAAGAGACTTTCAGTACATAAAATTTATATGCATTAGAGCCTATATTTTACTTAGTCATGCTGTTAAATGTATCTCAGGCCCTCGTTTCTTCAGAAGCTGTGTATATTGGCTCCCTGTTGTTCAGAGAACATACTAACCCTTTTAAAAATGTATCTGAAAAATTTCAAATGCCCACTGTAAATTCAGTCCTTGCTCACGCTGAAGTCAGTATTAAAAGCTGTTGATGATATTAGTATTCTGCATACTTTTTTTTTTTTTTCATTTATCCCTCATATAAAGAAGGCAAAGGTGCCACTAGCAACTGTTGTTTAAACAGCAATAACTCAATATTCCTTTTGGAGAGGTGAATTATTTTTTTTTTCTCTGGTAGTTACATGGTTGATAAATTCACTGGTTAATCCTGCCCCTGCATAAACCTCAAACCCCTGGAACATGGTTTGAGACACTATCCCACAAACCCTTTCCTCTTCAGATTAGTCCTATCAGTCTTAGTGGTGCAGTTGCAATGAGAAGAGATTTACGGCTGTAAAGTTCAACTGTCATTTGTCTTCTGAATGTCGTTGGGGCCAGCCCCTAACCGTGAGGTAGAGGCAAGCTGTGGGTACAGTGCAGAAGGACATTGCCAGAGGTAGGAACCTGGGAGGTGTTGGCTTCGTGGGAAGCACAGCTTTCTCCACGCTTTGGTACAGCCTCTCATCTCCCTTGCACCACACCAGCTTAGCTACAAGTGAAAAGGAGCTAGGGAATAGAAGGGAAAGACTTATGTCTGGTCCTTTTTGGTGTGGTTGGTGTGCCAGGAGGATGCTGAGCATAGAAGGTGGGCATGAGTTTTTGAATTGGTCTGTATACAGGAAGACTCCATGCCCAGGAGGAATTCCTTGTACTTTCCCTA